TGTCATATATGCACTTAATGAGTTAATTAATTCCAGGGCTATTAAAGTCCCATTAACCATTTGTATTCACGAAACATGTTTTAAGTTGATTTTGGTTTCCAAGGTATTTGTTGAATTTGGTCTATAATATAACAATGAACACACAAAAACACCTAACAGACTTACTGTTTATGCAATGATATAGATATACGATTCTTAACTAATTCTTTAACAACTTATTCAATACTCTTAAAATTACCTTGGAGCAACCCGTTTCTATAATAATGAAATATAAAAATAGTTCACCTGTACTTTGTAAATACGCGATTAACACCCGATTTTCAGGGAGGCTGATCACCTCAAGAATGAACTCATTATGTGTCAAACCTGTTCTCCATGATATATCGAGAAGCGGAACTACATAATTAGACACTTTGATTTTTATTACCTTGTTTTGGAGAATCCAGAAATAGTCTGGCACTTTAGGAAATGAAACTGGAGATTTATATGCCAAAAATGCCCTTTATACGATTCGGAAATTTACTCTATCGATATCGAACTATTTCGATATCTGTTTATGCTTAATATCACAGATGTTTAACTCTTGGTTTAAGTTTTAAACGACTTAGACGATGTACAAAATAACAGCTCCCAATGCATTGTGTTCTCTGTAAGACATCTTAATAGCAAAATTCGTGTTAGGAAAACGCTCACGCTTTGTGGCAATCACATTAAGATCACTTGAAAAAATTCGTTACGCGGCAATCATGTTGTACGATCACAAAGCATTGCGGCAATGAAGAAAAGAAAAGTAAGTAGATATTTAAAGATGGATTTAAGTATCGAATCAGTTAACAGAACACATTACACACATTTTGACCAACACACTCCTCGTATCAGTAAACGATTACCCGGATATTTTTTCCGACTTCCCCAATTGGTTAATAACGTTGTGTATGAAAATACGAAGAATTGAAAAATCACAAACCACACAATTACCAACATCATTGTGAGATTATCGTGACGGAGGCATAGTATCTATAATCTTCCTTAACCTTAGATTAGAATCATTGAATAAAAACTAAAAAAAACTATTAACTATTAAATCAAGTATGACTGAATAAAAAATGTTTTGATTGACTTTATGATTTAATGGAAACATGTTTGATGTTATCAGTCGGATATATAGGTGCTCAATGAAAAACATTAAGGTAAGTCAGTTTGCTCAAAGTGTTGTGCCTATTAAGACCGCGAGCGCGTGTATTTTATTCAGTGATTTCAAATTGTTTATTAAATTTCGACGGTGAAACAAAATACGGAACAATTTCGATTAGAGCTCCTATGGAACCCGTAGGGTACGATTAATATGAATTTATCCTAAGAACAAACTAAGGATTGTAGTTATAGAGTATGCTTTCCAACTGCATATGTAAGTTTGTATGCTCAATTTAGTATGTAACAACTTACAAGAAGAAAACATATAAGAAATCTATGGTGTAACAACTAAGATAAACTGTCGATTTAACTATCGATAATCCTGAACGAATTTATATTTTCATAATATAAAGCTTTGCATGATTTGAGTTCACAGTACGAGGTAGGACAATGGGTACTTTTTATCCCGGCATTTAACACGGTTTGCCTGCAAGAATAAATTCGATTAAGTTGTTATTAGAAATAAAGTTAAGATTTGTAAATAGGATTTTTATTTGCATTGTTTTTATTAGTTTTCTTTATTTTTTTATGGCTTTATTTTATTCTTTCTCATCCTTTTCATCTTTTACTACTACATGCATACTTCTAAACCTTAATTAACAGTAGAGGTTTTTCTAAAGCCTATTTAAAAGTACTAATTCCATCAATAAAACTGCGTGACTAATTTATTCTTCAGATTAGTGCCAGTGACATTAAGTCCAACTTATTTGCCGGAAGTTTCAATTAACAAATAAAGCGCATAAGAGTATGCTGTAATTGCTTTACATGTGTAATTTCATGCGTGATTATACTATGTAATTAGTTTTTTCTTAAATATAGATAATAGCTGAACATCTTTGACGGGCTTGTTGGTCTTGTGTTAATGAATCTGACTGTTAAGCCGAATGTCATGGGTACGATTCCCACCCAGGACAAATATTTGTGTGATGAATACGATCGTTTGTTTTGTGTCTGGGTGTAATTTATCTATACTAATATTATAAAGCTGAAGAGTTTGTTTGTTTGTTTGTTTGTTTGTTTGTTTGAACGCGCTAATCTCAGGAACTACTGGTCCGATTTGAAAAATTCTTTCAGTGTTAGATAGCCCATTTATCGAGGAAGGCTATAGGCTATATATCATCACGCTAAGACCAATAGGAGCGGAGCAACAATGAAGAATGTTTCGAAAACGGAGAAAATTTATTACTATTGAGAGACGCAGACGAAGTTGCGCGGGTCAGCTAGTATATAATATTTATGTATTTATAAATATACATATAAGTATGTTTATCAGCAGTCTGGTCATCATACTACAGTCTCTGGCTAGTTTGGGCTCAGATTGCCGTGTGTGAGATGTGTGAAGTTATTACTTAAATTTTCTTTAAAACAGTTTTTGGACTTTTATATTACCTAGTGAGGAGAACAATGATAATCTAATTTGTGTATTAACAAAGGTGTTGAGCAATAATCTTCAAGATCCATGTCAAAAGTATACCTTCAACTATGTAGTTCTTGATTATTGACTATCCACAGCAATTCCAATGTACATTACTATATACATTGGAATTGCATGGACCCTACATCACCCAAAAGACTTACAGTACTCATATTCATTACAACCTGAACATTCTACTCTAAATATGTTTGTGTTATCTTCTTCTCTCCCAAACAAAGTGTGCTGCGTCCGACAGGGTCCATAATCCGTTAGCACTTAAATTGTTATCATCTATGTACATATATTTATGACGATGATGTGATATTTGTTTTTAATTCAGTATGTTTATTTTCGATCATATAAGAAAAACATTATTTGAGTCACGTGAGTATATTCTTGTATTGACTGATATTGTGTATGTTTATTTTGTCAGAAATATACGAATTATTAATAATTTACATTATGTGTGTCAATAGGGGAACTTTATCTTGGTCGTGTGCTGTAATACAGGGCACGACCGATAATAACAATAGTAATAATAACTTCACACATCTCACACACGGCTGTCTGATCCCAAACTAGGCAGAGCCTGTACTATGGTAACCAGACTGCTGATAAACATACTTATATATTTTTTAAATACATACATATTATAGATAAATTACACCCAGACACAGAACAAATGACCGTGCTCATCACACAATATTTGTCCTGGGTGGGAATCGAACCCACGACCTCAGGCTTAGCAGTCAGGGTCACTAACCACTAGACCAACAGGCCCGTCAAAGAGAGCGAATGAAGAACCGATGAAGAGCGAACTTAGTGGCCCAACCGTCGGTCATCACGAACAATAGTTCTTCTTGAATTGTAGTGATCTTTGGGTAAACCCATTTGTTAATATGGGGTTTTGATACTACAGACGGATTTTGAATTTTATATGTTATTAAAAAAAGATAGACTTCTTATCATCAAGGAAAGCATGGTTTAATATATTTCTTGCAATAAAGTGCATTATTTCAGTTAGTGGTTAGAACGCTAAACGAACGGTTGTGTGTGTGTTTGTCATAAGTGATTATTTCAAGTGATTATAATGACGTTCAATTATAATTATGTTCGGTAATTATTACGGGCGTTGTGTATTAGGAACACACCATTGTTTTTTTTAAATCGTATTTTCTTTATAACCGCTCTTTTATTACAGGAAAAAATATTTTTGTTTATTAGGTGCTACGAAACTGACAGTTAATCTATTATTCTCGATCTATTAAGAATGGTAAATAGTAAGTAGGGTTGTCAGAGCCCTGTTTCTGTAGGGTATTCTCTCAAGAGTTCTCTGAAGATAGGAATAATGTAGTAATCAGTTTATTGTTGTGTTGATCAACCTTAATAACATTTAATCTTCTCTAAAATGCAAAGCAATAAATGTACTCAACTCTTGTGTAAACGGGGCCAATATATTATGTAGATACTTCTATACAGAGATGTCGGTAACGGTAACAGTGTCGAGAGTTCAATTTTTTTTTTTCCATTTCAAAAATACATTCTTTTGTTTGTTCTTCAAAAATGCCCAACAGGCCTAAAGAAGTTTTCACTTCAAAAAAGTCACATATTTCACAACCATAACCTCGATATTTAAAAGTTATGGTATTCAAAGAGCGGCATTGCACTATCAGTCTTGAGCTATATGACATCATCACCATCATCACCATTTCAAAACCTGATATATAAACGTGAAATGAGAATTATTAACAGTAATACTAATAGTAATAGAGTAGTATTATATTTGTAATTTTCCAAATGTTTTATATGAAGTTGATTTTATTAAAAAATAATTTTAATGAAAATAAAAGTAATTTTGGCACTGCTTATTTATTTTAGTTTTTTTTTAAAAAGATAGTTCAGATCAAACAAAAAAGGTAAGATGGAATTTTGCAAAGAACGAAGTGAGGCCGGTTTCATAAACATGTGTGCGTGGGCCAGTGCTGCCATTATAATTTTATTTTATTGTAAATATTGGCTTCCTTGTGTAAAATGCGATTCTATCCTACTATCTATCTCTTGTATTTTGATTTTTAATACCCTTTCACAACACAATTCGGCATTTTTACTTGTAAATGTTGTTGAAATTTTTGATGGCGTTTTGACTGACAAGGCGTAGTTTCGTTGTACATGTGTGCGTGTAATTGTGTATGTATGTACACGGCAAGGCGTAGTTTTCATTGGCCTTACTTCTTTGTTCACAGAGTACCATCTTAACTTTTTTATTTGATCTGATTGAGATAGAAAGTGACGTATCCCGGCAAAACAATAATATGAAGTGAAATGTAATCAAAGGAACTACAACAAATAAATTTCGTTACCTGTTTAAAGTGTATGTGAAAAGTGGTTCAAAATGTCACTTGATCAGAAAGAATCGGTTGACAATTTTAAACCAACGGAGACATGGAGGATCCTGAAGAACGTAGTGGTCATCAGTCTGGCCTTTATGGTACATTTTACTGCATACAATGTGAGTATCTAAACTCGATTTTTTTACTTTGCTCTCTTTATAATTTTTACCTGAGGCTTTTTATCTTCACATCAACCAGTCTACCGGTAAAGAAAATATCTGGTCAGTAGTACTTGTGGTTTAAATGAAATATTACTCAAGAAATAGAAACTAATAACGCAGAATCGTTTAAAAACAATAATAACTTGCAAATGTATGAGTGAAGAAACGAATTATTTACAATTCACACACATGTAAACGTATATTAATATACTACCGGAATGAGTAACCTGACTAGGTATTTCGTTTGCCATGTGTATATTAAAGCCTAGTCTTTATTCTCGAGGGAGTAGGCAGAGACATATAACGCGCACATTCTGCCAACTTTAATTTTATTCCATGTACTTAATAGTTCGCCACCCTATTGCCATTAATAGAGCAATTTAGCGATGAGACAGAAGGGAGGCCAGGGTTGCATCCCTGTAATTCGAAAGTTCGAGCCCACTAACCAAAAGTTAATTCCCAGTTAAATATGGGAACTTGCAAAAGTAGTTTGAATCACAATGATAAAAGGTATAATTAGAAATTAAACCAATTTAATTACTGACATTAGAGAGGAATTATTTTATGTTACAAGGAAATAATCGTCCTCGTTATGATACGCTGACTTAAATAGCATACAAGAGTTTAAAACATAACAGTAAATATAAATAAAACAAAAAAAATAAGGTGTCTAGAGGTTATTGGAGGAAGGAGATTAAGGTTAGCGACACACGGGCACATCCGACCTGTATAGGTCGGATAACCACTTACCATAACAGGACGACAGTTAGCTTATCTGGCAACTAAGTTGTATAGAAAAAAAATGCATTATTTATACACGTTTCTACATTTATCGGAAGCACCTTGGCATAATTATTTAGTAGCATATCGAATTGAGTCTACATAAATAACTAAGTACGCTCTCAGGTTGCAAAGGAACAAAAAGTAAAGTCCATAGTAAAGAAGACATTGAACAAAATCGTGATGTACTCACAAAGATAACTGTTAATGATGATGAGACGGAAGTGTCACAGAATCTTTTAGTAGTTAGTTTTTTGCTACAACCTTGGTACTATAAAGGTAGTTTTTCTACACCGCGGCCTGTGAAGATCTCGTGACCTTTGTAGTTATAGATTAATTAACCAGTTACGTTTTAGGTTAAGGTCAAGGGCGTCACATTACTTTGTTTTTGATACTCACTGATGGTTTTTTAAAAGTATAATTATCAATTGTATTAGGTGTGTGGAATCCAGTGAGCTCGAACTACATACCTATATTGTTTCGATTCGCATGTCGCATGTATTGACATAAACTATTTCAGTTGTGCGATCTAACTCAAATTTTCGAACATATTCGCCTCATAATAACTATTTTTGTGTACTTTCCTCAAAGCAAGTAGCAATGGATTTTAAGCATTAAAATATGCTTATAAATTGTAATAGCTGAGATTGAACGTGAACTGAAATCTAACATCTCAACCAAGATACATGAACGTTTTAAAATTTTAAACCGAATTTCCTATGGCTAAAAATGACAAAAAATTAAACTATACACATATATGATACCTACTTGGTGGAAAAGCTTTTTTATTCCTATATACAGGTGTACCATATTTATTAAGAAGCAATATATTTTGGAATTAGCTATACCGTTTATAAGGCACAAACTAGACATGCAGTTTAATACTGTCATACGAGTGTACTTCGTTTGTACACAGCCAATATGAAAAGTACAGACTTGATAAATGAATACCCAAACCCATTCTCATATTGTTATATGAGAATTCAATATGAGAATATATTGTTAGTTTTTTAGCGAATCATTACGACTCATTCTTAGCGTAATAATCTAAATGTATTTTACTTTGTCGCCAGTGGTTTTACTACGTGATGTCTTTCAAAATTTCAATTGGCCGCAGCATTAGTGTAATTTCTTATGGTATCGTATATACATATAAGTACATTATAAAAATACAAAACTATATTTGAGGACCCTGGCCTGGCCGGCCCTGAAATTAGGCGCACATTTCATTTCATATTCAGTTAATTAGCATTTAAAATATCTGGATATACGTTGCAGGGTGCTGCCAATTTACAAAGCTCAATCAACGCTGAAGCAGGCCTCGGGACAGCGTCGTTGGCTGCTGTGTATGCCGGTCTTATCATTTCCAATATATTTTTACCAGTGATTGTAATAAAGTAAGTGATTTTTTTAACTGATTAGTAAATTTATAAAATAAAATATGTTGAACAGTAAAAAAATTAAGGTAGACGAGTGGTGACGCATTTGGTCACATCCGAGATTGTCGTAAATACATACTACATTATATACTACACGACATACATAAATATTAAATATTTATGTATGTCGTGTGCATAAACTACTAAATTTAGATGATGGTTTTAATGATTTATTTATGCAGTAGGGTTCTAGGGCTTTTATTATTATTTTGGACGAACACTTTTTTGTACATGTTTGTCTAGATTTAACTAACAGTGGTTCCCTGGATGAGTTAGATTCATGAGTGTACGTAGTACGTGCATCAGGAATCAAAATCTGGAAATTATATATTTTTATGTTTTTTTACAAATCATTACCATTTTACTTTTTAACGCTATAATTTAATTAATTTTATTGCTGAAATCAAAAGAGACCACCACGAAATGTAGGTTCGGGTCCGATATTGCCTAGATTTCCGACTTGAAGAAACTTAAAAAAAGGTTTGTATAGATCTCCGTGCTGACTTAACAGGAAAGTGGCAAAGTGAATAAGAAATAACTATTATATTGTCTGACAGTATATGTAGAGACTGGGAAAGTACCTAAAGAAGATAGGATTTTCTGCTGGTGAAACCCTTCGAGGCTTCACCGAAAGCTTTAACAATGCATAATTTATATTATTGACGTAGACCATTTGTCCATTCCAGCCTTATTTGTATATTTTTCATATAATCACATCCATTTCATCTATTCTAGATGGCTGGGAACAAAATGGGCGATCTCTTTATCGTTCATAGCCTACATGCCGTATATTGCTGCTCAACTTTATCCCAGATTCTACACAATGATACCTGCTGGACTAATTGTAGGCCTTGGTGGTGGCCCACTCTGGTGCTCCAAATGTACCTATCTCTCTGTGGTATGATTTTTATAGTAGCTATTAATATTATAGTAGCATGGATGAGAACTAAAGACAATGCTTAAGTATTCAAGTGTATGATGTGATGAAGTATTACATACATGAGTAAATACTTGCCTTCACACGTCGTTCTGCTAATAGACCTTTGTAAGAAAATTAAAGGCACTACATACTCTCATTAATACTAAATTCAAAGTAAGACATATTTACACCGAGTCCTGCTACTCGTGTTATGTTCGAGTAAGTAAAGTAAGTTTAGTTTCTTTAATGTCACTAGATGGCGCTGTATTTAAAAGGACCTAAATTAAATCTCGATTTTAAGAGTCTCCGCAGGTGAAAGACTTGGGGAATTATTTTTGGTTATGTAGATCTTTAATTTAGAGGTAACTTGATCTAAATATGGTTCAGGATTAACCTATCAGGTTTTCTATTGAGTACCCTGAAGGAATAATTCCCGCCTCGACCCTCACTTCCTCCGCCTCGACCATACATTAAACATGTTAAAATCAATTAGATCTCAGAGTCAGCATTCGCCATCAATGAACATTTAGACAATGTGTACTAACAGTCCACTGCTGGACATAGGCCTCTCCTTAGAAAGGAGGTTACAAGACCATTATAACATAGCATACTAATGATAATTTAATATTCACAGACATCAGAAGCTCATAGTCGGATATCCAAAATCTCAGCTGAGGCACTCCTAGTACGATTCCTAGGGCTGTTCTTCATGATATTTCAAATGAACCAAGTGTGGGGAAATCTCATTTCTTCCTTAGGTAAGTGCATGATTTTCGTACGAACCGATTACAGTACAGATGTGTCATCATCATCAACAGCCTATAACAGTCCACTGCTGGACCTAGGCCTCTCCTTAGAAAGGAGGTATTGGCCTACTATACCACGCTGGCCAGACGGGTTGGTACAGGGTTTGTTTCAAGTTTTCCTTCTCTTTGCAGTGCTATTATCCTGCGTAATTTGCTCCCTTAGTCGGCTCTTACGACACCCACAGGATGAATAGGGGTGGTGACATTCCGTATTCTTAATCCGTCACCACACGGACAGATGTGTACTGTACTGTAATTTTGCGAGACGTAAAATGAAGTGTATTTTGAGGTGGACAAAATAAGACCGAAGTCATGTCATGTTTTTTTTTCAGTTCTGACTTCAGGGAACAATACAGCCGCGTTTACATCAGTAAATGAAACGATGATCCCGATTCTGTGCGGCGCCAACTTTTTACCCAGCGCTGATGCTGACGAAGCACTTCCAACACAACCTCCGGAAAAGATACAGATGTTATCAGGTATTTCAAGTTTATGTTCGGAGGTTGGGTAAAGAAGTTCCGTCTACTAACTACTACGCTTCTACGAGGGGTGATCAATAAGTAATGATAATCAATATGAAACAGAACTATTAGATAAAAAAAAGTATTTTATTTTTCAACATAGTCTCCTTGCAAGTTAATACATTTAGTGTATCTTTTTTCTAAGCCCATGATTCCCTTAGAAAATAATTCTTTGTCTTGACCCTCCCAAAATGCCTCTACTGCGGCCATCACTTCACTATTGTCCTTAAATTTGTTGCCCCGGAGGTGTTCTTTGAGCCGAGGAAAGAGGTAGAAGTCACTGGGAGCTAGATCTGGCGAATAGGGAGGGTGTTCGAGCAGTTCGAACCCCGTTTCTTCAATGGCAGCCATCGCAACTGCGGCTTTGTGAGCCGGGGCGTTGTCTTGGTGAAACAGCACTCCAGCGCGCAGTTTACCGCGTCTTTTTGACTTAATAGCTTCTCGCAATCTTCTTATTTGGCCTGCGTAGTAAGAGCCTGTTATAGTGGCCCCCTTTTCCAAATATTCCACCATAATAATTCCTTCTGCATCCCAGAAAACAGACGCCATAACCTTTCCCGCTGAACTTGACACTTTGAATTTCTTCGGCGTTGGTGAGGAAGCTCGTTTCCAAGTCATTGATTGTTGTTTGGTTTCGGGATCAAAGTGGTGGATCCAGGTCTCGTCCATGGTCACAAAACGCGACAAAAAAAATTCTTTATCAGCCTGGAACTTTTGAAGATTCACCCTCGAAATGTCGACTCGTTTCTTTTTTTGCTCGTCGGTTAACATTCTCGGTACCCAACGCGCAGAGACCTTTTTCATATGCATTTTGTTGACAATGATTTTTTGAACGCTGCCATAGGAGATCCCTGTGACCTCAGCTACATGCCTTACGGTCACCCTTCGATCGGCCAACACGATATCTTCCACTTTTTTGACGTTTTCTCCAGTAAGGGACGTGGAAGGGCGTCCCTCGCGATGTTCATCTTCAGTGGAGGTTCTGCCCAGCTTAAATTCCTTTGCCCAGCGTGCGACTGTGGAATATGGAGGAGCAGACTCCCCCAATGTTTCCTCTAAGTCGCTGTGTATGTCTTTGGTAGACATTTTTTTCAGGCAGAGGTACTTGATGACAGCTCTTATTTCATTTTTCTCCATTTTGATGTTTTCTCTTCGACAGTTCGTATTCAAATGAATGTATCTCCCGGTAATGGTGTCCTATTTATACATTTTTTTGAAGCTGAAGTAGTGGATATATAAGCAAGCAGAAAAAAAATAATTTGGATTTTTGTGCGTTCTAGAAATACTCGATTATCATTACTTATTGATCACCCCTCGTATACTTTCTTTTCGTTGAGAATTTAAAGAGAGAAGTATTTAATGAATATGTAATGCGGTTTTAAGTAACTTAAAGAAAGGAAGTCAGTAGTCCCATTGTTTGAACTTTTATACATTTATAATGGTATTAACAAGTAGACACGTGTTTTAAAAATAACCATTTGAGAAAAAACAATCTGGTTTTTTAATACCTTGTTATTTTTATTCTGACTGGATTGGAAAAATTTAGGATCATCATCATGACACATTAATTTATGTTTTATAATTTGAATATTTTTTAATTTAAATGGAAACTAAATTAATTAAAATACAAATAACCTTCTTAGCTAAATGTCATACGGTTATAACCACTTCAGCATTCATTAATAACGCGACATTCACTTATTATAGTATTTAAATATTTTGTGTGAAGTTCAGTGGTATTCAAGGTTATTAGCAGCAATGTCTTTTGAGATGCAAACATTAAAGGAAATTTTAAATGTCTTATACGTAGAGTATATCTCAGTGAGTAAGTAATATATTTCCAGTTTTCATTTTAAATGTTTTCAGGTATTTACCTTGCTTGTATGGCTGGTGCAGCTTTCCTAGTGGCTGTTGGGGTAGATTCCATGAAACGGTAATACTTAAGAAAAGATATATTGCTATACATTGTTATTTATAGTTGAATGAAATGTTACTAGATTTAAGAAACGGAGTTAAGTCACAAGAAAAAATTGTAACAAATGTTTGCTGCAATTATTTTCACGCATCAGAACACTGCGTATAAATTGCGCTTTTATAATTGGAGCAAAATTGCTTTATTATTGATTCTTAGCATTGCGATCACGTCACGCTTCCGAGAAATACCGCCATCTATTTTGCTGTTTACAAATTCATATCACGATTGTGCGCAATATGTACCTTTTTTTTTCTTTTTATGGAATAGGGGGCAAACGAGCAGACGGGTCACCTGATGGAAAGCGACTACCGCCGCGCATGAACGCCTGTAACTCAGGAATCACAAACGCGTTGCCACCCTTTGAGGAAGGAGCACGCTCTCTTCTTTGGTTTGGTTCTAAGGTTTGAAGGTCGTATCTGTCCGAAAATACCGCAGCCAATAACTTGTTCCACAGATTGGTAGTGCGAGGCAAAAAGTGTCTTGAAAAGCCCACAGTGGTGGAGCGCCAATTATCCAAGTGGTGGGGATGAAAATTTTGCCGTGTCCGAACAATTCCTCGGAGCATTCTCCAGGATATATACGATAGAGAATTCAGAGCGAAGCTACATCTCTACGTAACGCCAAGGGATCGAGCCGGTCGCAAATCTTTTGGACCGCTCTTCTTCGGATTAAATCCAGAGGGAGAAGCTGGTACTGTGGTGCCCCTGCATAGAGATGAGAGCAGTATTCCATATGATGGAGTGAAATACTGCCTCGATCTGTTCATCACACCGAGCTTCTTCGAGGCCAATTTGACCTTACCCTCTAAATGACCGCGAAACTGGACTTCGCTCGATATCTCGATGCCTAGGATTGCAATACCGGCTGAGGCAGTTACGGAGGTGCTCTCGAACCGAGGCGATACGAAAAACCTTATCTTTTTTAAACCATACTTAAAAAAATAAGAACCTTAACGGGTTAATAGGTACAGCACTGAACAGGAATTATTGTTTGCTGTGGAACATCTCCCCAGCAATTTAAAGAAATTTTATGTAGGCCCTTACCTACGAGACAAACAAGTGGTTTGGAAAATTTGTCCTGTTGTCACCAAAGGATGTGCTAGCTACCATTAGCTGTGTAATTATCGAGTAACCTTTTGTCCCTTAGTAGGATATAGTTAGGACTGGCTTGTTATCGTTACTATTTATTCATACAAATACTTTTACCGATTTAATATAATTTATAAGATTTGTAAAATTCGGTTTTCTTCTTTGAATATTCAGTTACGATACGGGCCGCCAAGGTTCTGGCAGTGGCTTGTCTACTAGGGAGTTGTTAGCCGTGACCTTGAAGTTGATGGCAGAACCAACGCAGCTATTGCTCGTCATTATCAACATCTTCATCGGACTTCAGCAGGCGTTCTTTGGTGCTGATTTCACTGCTGTAAATATACTATTGTACATTATATCACACACAACGCCATCTAGTTTCAAAGTAAGCAGAGCTTGTACTATGACAGCTGGATTGACTGATAGAATACTTATATACTTTTTTTATAAATACATGCATATTAAACATAGAAAACACCAAAGCTCCGAAATATTTGCAGATCATACAAAAATTTGGTCCGACCATGAAATTAACCCGAGACCTTAGCACAGCAGTCACATACGCTACCACTGCACCACCGAGGCAGTCAATTCGCTGAGCAAGTTATTATGCTGAGCTTAGTATCTCGGCAGTAATATTTTGTCGATGGTTTAAATACTAAAAAGTAATTTACCATAGTCTATGAAAGTAATAAACGTGGCAACACAAAGACTGATTTCCCAAAAATCTTTAGGATGCCATGTAATGTTTACAGAGCAAATGAGATGCGCGAATAACAGTGCGCATAATATGCGCATAGTTCTTACATAGCGAAAAGTAAAGCTAATAAATGAATTTTAATACGTCAATTAGAAATACATAGCTTTCTAAACTAATTAATCGTGTTTCATAGAATACTCACGAAGAATATTTAAAGACATACTTTGTAAAGAGTTCTTAAATAAGAAAGGAACTTTAATATTTCTTGTACTTACGGTTGTACTTTCCGGGGACAATTTGTCAAGAGGCAAGACTTGTCTAGTAAAGTTACGGACGAAGGCGTTTGCATTTTACATCATACTGTGTATTGCAGAATTGCTTTTGATAGGCAGAATGGCACGTATCAAAATGAACTGAATCTCAATTCCAAGATGATTTGCTATATTATTTGTTGCAGGCGTTCGTGTCGTGCGCCGTCGGCACCGGTTCAGTTGGCTTCGTCATGATGACATTCGGTCTGGCTGATGCAATTGGCTGCGTACTCACAGGATATTTGGCTAAGGTAAGGTTTTGTCTGTGTAGGGGAAGTTGGCAACTGATACACGGCATGCATGTCGGTGATAGGCGGTATGTAACTATGGCTATGGAACAGTTGGAAAAAGACTATATTAGAGAACTAAAGGTGAGTGTTCTTACTCATACAAATGTCCATCCGAAGAGACCATCTGAATATGTTAAGGTTTTAGACACGTCATAAAGTTAACATATAAGGTCAACCTATATGGGTCCCAAGACCTATGAACATAAAACTTCATTATAAATTAGCCTACATTAACTATAAAGTCAAATGTATAAACTTTTTGAAATTTCAGTGTCACTTCTGAATAATTCCTGAGGTAAATGAATTTTCCTGCTGGAAAAGTTGCCAAGACAGATACGAGTACATATTCAGTTTCCATCGGTCCTCAGTTAACAGGGCGTCTGCCGCTCATGTGCTGCGCGACGGTGGTGAACGCGGCGTTGTTCAGCGCCGTGCTGACGTGGCGGCCGCACGCCGGGGACGACTACGTGCTCTACATCTTTGCAGTTCTGTGGGGGCTGTGCGACTCGGTGTGGATAGTGCAAATCAACGGTATGTGATATTATTTGCGAGTTACACAAAATTATTTATACTAGAGAAAAATTTGGAGCGTCCATATCGATCGCGAACTAAGCAATTTATGTTTATATTTGGTCTCTTCTTAATTTGAGAAATACTTTTTCTTTATTATGTTCACAAAAATGGTAAATTTTGCCTGTTTTTATTGTTATAATGTTAGTCTATGAGTACTACCAGTGCAATCTCGTAGAAACGTCAGTTTGAGTTTTTAATGCGTACACAAACTAACATTACCAGACCTAAATAGATACCAGACCTGCGAATACGTTCGCGTGGAATTTGAAATCGCTGCCTTAGTGGGTTCGATTCCCGGACCGGGCAAAATTTTATAGGGTTTTTCTGAGAAGAAACATAGCTTAAGTTACTCCTTATACAAACAGCTACCTTGTCGTAAAATATTATCAAAATCGGCCCAACTATTTAGAAGATTACCTGCAACAAACAGACAGACAGACAAAAAAATAAGAGTAGTTTTTAGGCATAGGTATCGTGCAAATAACCGTGTGAGCATGAAAAAAACTGATTATTTTGACATTACAAACATACACCTAAATTTTATTTATTTGTATAGATACAGATTCCATGTCAAATCTTTAAAAATATCTTCATATAAAATGAAATATGTAACATTATTTATTTATGAAGTATGGATATTTGTTAGAAAAAATATGTTTTTTTATTTAACAGCATACTACGGTATCCTGTTCCCCGGCAGGGAGGAGGCAGCATTCGCAAACTTTCGACTCTGGGAGTCTGTCGGATATATCATTGCATATATTCTATCTCCATATCTAAGGACAACTCACAAAGCATATTTGCTACTAGCCACAATGGCTGTCGGAGTGTCTTGTTATTTCTTTGTGGAATATCAACAGCGTCGATTGAAGAAAGACGATGAGAAAAATAAGGAAATGTGTTATGTAAAAGGTTGTGATAATATTGCTTTTGATAATGTAATGTAATTTAAAAGTCAAATGAATGCAGAAGATTGTTGTATTTACACATAATTACACAAGTACGGCAGCATCAGTTTGACACTTTTTTATATTCTTTTTTTTACCCTTTTTACCCTTAACCCCCCCCCCCCTTCCAGTTTCCGACCTCAGATCGCCCGTAAATTATTTTGCCTTTCATTTTTGTTACATTCTCGTCCTTTTTTAACGGTATTCATCTTTACAATAGATTTTTTTCACTTATTACCATTTTCAAAATTATCGACCCTGGTCTAATAAGTAATAAATTAAAGATGCGATGAAAGTAATAAAGTCTCGCAATCTATTATAAAAATTGACGAACTAGAGTGTTGTTAACGCATACGAGAATGCTGTACATGCAGTTTAGAATTAAAGTGACGTAATTGCAATATGCAAAAATGTTTAAATGAACCTTCGTAATTGAATATAATGTATATAATTCAATTACAATTTAAAATATGAATATTATGTATAACAATACGAATAATAAGAATGTACTCAATATATTAAAATTAAGGTTATTGATATTTCTATAGAACATTTATATAGTTTTGTTATCTAATGTTATGAAGCTGAAGAGATCGTTTGTTTGGTTGAATCGCTAATCTCAGGAACTACTGGTTCGTTTTTTTATCATAAAATAATAATAAGAAACATATGAAATTTATAAATAACTAGCTGTATCTTTTCTTTTCCTGTGCGGAACTCCCCTCGGATACCACCCACCAGCGGGGTGGTTATGTCGGACTCGAACCGACAAAAGCCCAACGTTGTTTCCAGGTACCAGTAGCCAGGGAACCAGGTATACCCTAGAAAGTTTAGCCCTGGTAACTCGACGTACCTGGCCTACCATCTACGGCTTATAGATAACCCTCTCAACTAGGTGTACCCTGCCACGCATCGCTGTAGCACATTGCGGTGTGGTTGCTTTGATGTGAAATGACGAACGAACTGACGCGAAAAATAGATAAAAATAGTCCTTAAAGCAGTTTGTATATCGTGTCAAAATTTGAGCTCAATCAGTGACTGTCTCAGTAGTGTAGTAGTTGCGTAGGCGACTGCTGTGCTGAGGCTTGATACCTGGGTTGGATCAAATCTTAGTATTATCTGCAAATACTTGTTTCGGAGTTTGGGTGTTTTCTATGTATGATAATATGTATGTATTTAGGACAAAAAGTAGATAAGAGTTCTATCAGTTAATCTAGCTTTTAAAGTACAAACTCTGCTTAGTTTGAAACTCGATGTTGTTGTGTCTCAGATGTCCGCAATATTATTATTATTATTTTTGTTGGCCTGTAAATCAATTATTATTAAGATCTCATTATTTTATACGAATATAAATCATTTATAATATAACAAATTACATATTTTACCTGCGATGTCGTGGTATTTAAAAATCTGTAATTAAAGTACTAAAATATAATGTTACAATATACAAATCGAAATATATATATATATATATATATATATATATATTTTAATAAATTATGGTCTATTTACTATTTATAGTTGTTATCATTATATTTTTTATAACATTAAGTCTACGGCTGAACTTGGATCGAGTCAGACAATCAGAATAAAACTAAAATTTAAAAAAATGCTAGAGTTAAAGCTTCTTCAAAAGTATTAAAAGATTATACGAGCTATATGATGAGAGGAATTACAATAAAAGTGAACACTTTCATAATTATGTTAAAGAATATTCGAAGCTGTTTAGGAAACTTTTTAAATTGGCTAAGTCTTGTTTTAAAGTTCAAAGATTAAAAGTAGCAATGATAAGATTAAAACCACTTGGAAAATTATTAACAGTGGAACTGAAAAATATTCAATACCGTGATAATAAATTTAATTTAAATATAAACAATAAATTTATCACATTAAATGCTGGTTGCTGCTGCATTTGAGAACTTTTTACTAACATTCCTGTATTAACTACTACTAAAAATTACAAAAAAGAAAAGTTTTGTTTTAAATTTAAAATTGATATTCGTTAATAGTTTAAAAAGCCTTTAACACTGTTAATGTGAAAAAACACAGCTGACCTATGGGAAAATTCTGTATTAATTATATGTCTTGTGGCTCATCAATTGTCATTTACATTAAATCAATGTGTTGATAGTGGTGTATTTCCTGATCTTATGAAGTCTAGTAAAATTATTCCCTTATTCAAATCTAATAGTACATCTGACCCAAATAACTTTAGACCTATCTCAGTACTACCAGTATTTAGTCAAATTTTTGAAAAGAATATCATGATCAATTACAATTTTTTTTTTACAAATTTGGTTTTACAAGGGGTCGCTCCACAACTGATGCCAGTGTTGAGCTAGTAAAACATATATTTGATGCCTGGGAAAATGTATCTTTTGCGATTTATCTAAAGCTTTTGATTGTGTTGTTCATGAAACGCTGATCAGGATATTACAGCACTACGGGTATGGTATCAAAAACAAAGCACTGGAACTTCTTATTTCATATCTGGATAATAGGATTCTGAAAGTTGATATTAATGGTGAGCAATTATTATTATTATTATTAACGGCTCTGTGAATGAAATAGGCGTTCCACAAGGTTCTATTCTCGGCCCTTTTTTGTTTTTAGTATATATTACACTACAATCTCGAGATTGTGTTGTTTGCGGATTTGAAAGTGGTTCATTGGTTTGACGTCAACAATTTGCTTTTAAATGGACAAAAAACTAAGTTTCACTATGCCAAACGTTAAACCAGTAGTAATTACTGTGATGATTAAGGATGTTGAGATTGACCTTGTGTGACATTTTTCGATAAAACAATAGATTGTAAGCTACAGTGGGCCCACATATTGATAAATTATCACACGCAGCTCAGCAGCATACACAGTAAGAAAAATTCGAGAGTTGACTGATGTTGATACAACATGAACTGTCTACTTCAGTTATTTTCATAGCATAATGTCGGACGGTATTCCTCCACAGTAGAATACTAATAGATTCGAACACTTTAGAATTTAGGCTATTGTTTTTCATTGAGGCTGAAATTTAAAGAAATAAACATTATGACATGGCATGTCAATAAATATAACAAAATGTAATGTATGTTCATAAAAACAAGGCAAGCTAACCTTGAATCGCATTCTATCACTACGCTTTACCCTTTTTGGAGATTGTTATTGTCGCATGTCATTCAACTCGATCCACATTGAACACTGAACTGACCATTGCTGCATATATGGCTGTAGATTGATGTGTAGTGGCAACGTTTTTGGGCCGTAATTACTAATCTAGTGTAATATAATAGATCAATGCGTGTGATGGATCAGTGTGCGATACTTAGTTCAAGCGGTTGCGCTGTAGCATGCGCTTTGGTGCTCAGGCATGCGTCAGAGGAAGAAGTAATATGAATATGAAAACGCACTATTGTGGACATACCTTACGCAGTATTTAACTTACAAAATAAGTGACGAAATAAGTTTTTATCAATTTATAAACAGCAGAAGCATTCCATAAATAGCCGAGGATTCTTCCTCTGTTTTTTCAAAGGGATTAAAATTCTCCCGATTGTTTAACGAGCGCTTACTTTCTTGATAGTTTCCAAAACGACTTTTTATTTATTTAAGATAAGATTGTCCTTATGATTTATTTGTAACGTAAACAGTAGACAGTGTGCGATGAAATAAAAACCAACATACCTTTCCAGAAATGACCAAAACTAAAATCACTTTTTTGTTATTCATTCTATAACGCAAATAGTTATTATTGACTTTAAAACCGAAAATTTATAGAATGTTAGTCAGCATATAAGTTTATAAAATGTTTCATATTAGTATGATATTTCTTATTTTAGACAGTTTTAAATGTTCAGTAGTAATTAATATATTTGGTTGAGTAACTTGTACTACAGTTTTGATTTTATCAAAATAAAATACATTTATGCCTACATTTGCAATATACGAAAGGTCATTTAGCAGGTTTAGGTAAATTTTATTGCTAGAGATGTTGCTTTTATTCTAGAATAATCTAGTAGTAGCTAGTATATATAGATTTCTATATTTATTATATTCGTCATAAAATCTCTTTTTTAGTTTCTCTGCATATACCATGTTTTGCTCTACATCGACCTAAAGTTACATGTGCCTAAAGTATAAATAAAAAAAATATAAATGCTAAAATGTTCCATCTTTCAGTAAGTATATGAATAAAACCTTGTTGTTAACTGACTTAAAAGAGAGGAAGGTTATCAATCCAGTTATTTTTCATGTTTGTTACCTCAGAACTCTGTCATTCATAAATCGATTAAAAAAAAAATTACGGTTATATTTTCACCTGGTTCCCCGGCTTCTGGTACTAAAATAGTATATAAATGGTAATAGTAATCTAGGTTTATCGAAATACCATGACAGCAGGTAGGCCTTCTATTCTATGACTACCACATAGCACAGGCGAATATGTGCTAAATAAATAAAAACGTACATATTTACTAAGTTATCGCGTACGAATGTATTCTTAAATAAAGTTACATAATATTGAAATGTATTAATTCTAAGATTACGAAAACGTGATACATATAATTTAATACATGAAGTGATAAGATAACACTTATTTAAGATAAATATGTATATACTTTGGATTCAAGTACATTTTCTTTGAAAATATTTTAGTTGCTAGTCGGGTCACATCAGCATCTAATTGTTAACATTAAAACCGAAGAGGCATACTTCTGAGCTGAGTGTTTTGGTTTCGATTCTCGCATGAACAACACTTTGTGTGATCTACAAATTGTTGTTCTGAGTCTTTGTGTTCTTTGTGTCCATTTCATGTATGTTTGTAAAGCCCCCGCGAATATGGTACCGCTGCCTTACGTGCTTATGATCGTCTGCCCATAATTAACTAGCTATTGTCCACGGCTTCGCTCACGAGATTATTTATCATTTCGTGTAACTGGCTTAAACCAACTATTATTATTTGTACGTTCATCCTCTAAAGTTCTCACCCTTCGTGAAGCCTGCGT